AGTGTACCCTGTCCATAATGAGAACCAGAAATGGGACAAAATGGTGCCAGTTCTAGCTACGAGATTCTCTAACCCTCTGGAATTGAAAAATTGTGTGGCTAACTATGCAGTGAAGAATGGCTACAACCTTTATTATGAAAAAAATGATAATTAGAGGTTATTAGTAAGATGTTGTAGGGATAACAAGAACCCATCTTGTCCTTTTAGACTGTGGGCTTCATGGATGAGTAGTGAAAGGTCTTTCCAGATTAAGTCCTTAGTTGATGACCATAATTGTTCAAGAGTCTTCAAACTTGGTTCCACTGTAACATATAAATGGATTGGAAAGCATTTTAAGAATTAGCTTTTGAAGAACCCCAAAATAAGCATAAGGAAAATGAAAGCCAAGGTAAGTACAAAGTTTAACTTGATTCTTAGTGTGACTCAATATAGAAATACTAAGAGATATGCTTTGGATGAAATAGATGGTAGTTTGATAGAACATTATGGTAAAGTATGGAGTTATGGAGAATAAATAATGAGGACAAATCTTGGTTCAACAGTAAAGATAGATATGAATGTCATGCCTGATTCCACCACTTACTTTTCTAAAATGTATGTTTTAAGGGTGTGAAGGATGGTTGGATTGTAGCATGTAGGAGGGTAATAGGGGTAGATGCTTGTTTTTTAAAGGGTATATGTAGAGGCCAACTGTTAACAACTATGGGTAGGGATGCAAATAACCACATCTTCCCTATTGCATGGGTTTTGGTGGCAGTTGAAAATAAGGAAACATGGAAGTGGTTTCTTAACCTCCTGTTGGATGACACTGAAATGGGACTTGGTCATGGATTGAACCTCATAACAGACCAACACAAGGTATATTTTTTGTTATGTTTTGTTTCAGATGAATATTTTTGTTGTGTCACATATTCCATGTTTTCTTTCAGGGATTAATAGAGGCTGTCAAAGAAAGGGTTCCAGCAGCAGAGCATAGACAATGTGCTAGGCGCATCTATGCTAACTTCAAGAAAAGATTCAAAGGTGAACAATATAGGAAGTTTTTTTGGGCTGCTGCTGCTAGTACTACTCAACCTAAATTTGAGGCATAAATAAATTCCATAAAAAGTTGACCCTTTGGCTTATGAACACCTCATGGAAAGGGGCCCTAAAAGTTGGTGCAGGGCATTCTTTGAAGTGGATAGGGCTTGTGATGCTTATGAGAATGACATATCAAAAAGTTTCAACTATGTTATTGATCTTGCTAGGAAGAGGCCACTCCTCACCATGTTGGAAGAGATTCGGATTTATGCAATGGAGAGGATGTATAAAATGTTGCTAGAGGGACATAGTTGGGGTAATTTAAAAATATGCCCATCTATAAGATTAAATATATCAAAGTTAAAGAAACATCAAAGGTATGATATAACTTCTATTTTATAAGTATTATTATCAAATCTATAAGATTAATAGAACTTGTTACTTTTATGGACATATTTTGGGGAGTTATACCTTATAGGATACAAAAATATGAGGTTAGGCTTGGAAATGATGGATATGTTGTGGACCTTACCAGCAACACATGTGGATGTAGATCTTGGCAAGTATCAGGTATCCCATGTGTGCATGTAGTGGCTGGCATTTCATACCTCAATAGGAATGGAAAGGATTATGTTGCACCATGGTTCCATACAATCATGTTCTTGACTTGTTACAACCATACCATTAATCCACTTAATGGTAGTTCCATGTGGCCTGAAGTTCCCTACATGAAGCCATTGCCTCCATAAAAAAGAAGGTTACCAGGAAGGCCAACCTTAAAAGGAAAAAGGGATCAATCTGAGAGGGAAAGTAAGGGGAAAACAAGGCATACTATCTCAAAAGCAGGTGCAATTATGAGATGCACCATTTGTAGAGAAAAGGGCCACAATAGATCAACATGTCCTACAAGATCAGAATGTGTAGCATCCACTTCAAGGCCAAAAAAGAAGAAAGCTAAAAATGTAAAAAAGATAAAGGTATGCTATTAAAACAATTTAATTATACTACAACATCCAACTCATTAATTACACCTTTGTATAGCAGGTACTGTGGAACCAGTACAAGTGGAGGATCAAGTGGAACTAGTTCAAGTGGATGATCCTGCTCAACCTGTTGATGATGTTTAAGTAGATGATCCTGCTCCACTTGTTGATGATGTTCAAGTAGATGATCATGCTCCACATGTTCATGTTCAAGTAGATGATCATGTTAATGATGTCTCTGCTCAACCTGTTGCAACTGGGAAGAGGATACGAAAATACTCAGAAAGAATTACCAAGATATGGTTGAAGAGGAATGTTTTGAAGAAAGAAGGAAGCATTGATCACCACCCAATGGTGATCACTAACCTAGTAAAGACATTAATATTTCTTTGAAACGAGTCAAAACATCAAACTATCATTAATCAAAAAGATTTAGTCTTAATACATCAAACAAAATACAACATTAAGGGTTAAATTTAGTCTTTGAATATAACTTCACTAACTACTTCTTAAACACAAACAACAGAAATAACACAATCATCAGAACTTTGTGAGTAAATAGCTTCCATTTGAATTTTTCAAACTCTTGTCTAACAACCAAATTTTCTTGTTCCATCTCCATCTTGCATATGTTGATCTCGTTTTCCAATGTAGAAACTTTGAGGGTTAAATTGCAAAGTTCTTTTTGGTCCTTCCCAGAACTGACTTCATTTTAGGGGTTTCAGGCTCCAACCATTCCCAGAACTTACATTTTGGTCCTTCATTCTTGAAAAAAGTAACAAATTGGTTAAAGAAAGAAGATTAAACCAAAAAGTAAAAACATTTGATTTACCATGGAGTTAGGGCACAATCTGAATTTTTTTCTGGATTGTCTTTAGTTCGTGAAGTTCGTACGCGAGATCGTAACCCACAATAACAAGGATTTTCAGGTTAAAATTCAGCATTTCGTTTGGAAGAGATAGAAGAAGAAGAAGCATCCATGACGATCTAGGGCACAATTGATGAGAATAACGCATATTGTAGCTTAATATTGTATGACTTGCATTTAATAAGCCAAGTGTATGCCACATAATGCCACGTAATAGCCACATAAGAAGTAACCTACAACAACCGGTCGCGAGGGTTTTGATGAGCAGGAATATTAAGTTCAATGGTATAATAAGGACAAAAAGAAAAGATAAGGGACTAAATGAGAACAAGTCCAACAATTTGTTACCCTCATAAGCCATTTTCCTAAAGAAAAAAACCACATTAAGGCTCTTTATGTTACAACGGAAGACCACATAACGGCTAGGGGACGATGTTTACGTCGTTGAAGGCGTGCTATGTATGCCATAACGCCCCTCGACTAGCCATACTTAGTCGTCTTAAAGGATCAATTTTAACCAAACTCAAATCGACAAGACAACCGCTAATTTATGAAGATGTAGAATTTTTCCAAATGTATTTTCAAGGAACACGCAAAGTACACTGTGACCAAATATGCATTAAAGAATATTTTAGATATTTGATTAATACATATCATAACTTATACAATACACAATTACTTATAAAACTGAATATTATATTTGCTTGCGCAAAAACTAATAACACTTTCTCTATTTATGTTACCTAAATAGTAAATAATACAATATTACAATATTTTCCTATTGTCCTCTAACTTTAATCGGAAGGGTTAATGACCTAGAAAGGTAACAAACTTTTGTTTTTGTCCACATTTAGGTAACCATGTTTTTTTCGTTTATATTTGACCATTGAACTTGTTTAATCTGTTCAAAATAGGGTAATATGACCGGTAATTACGGTAATATTACCCTATTATGAACATGTCAAACAAGTTTATTGGTTAAATGTGTACGAAAAAAACATGGTTACCTAAATACAGACAAAAACAAAAGTTTCTTACCCGTTTTGGTAATACTGGACAAGAACCGTCTTAGGGACTGTGTGCTCTGGGATCAGGCTCCGACAGTCAATGAACAATTAGGTTAGGCTTGGTCTAACCCAGTTTAGTCTCGGCTAGTCATGGGCTAAGTTGTGTTGCTCGATCTTTAAAACACATACAACCTAACCCCTTAAGCGTATACAACCTACTAACTAGTTGGGCCTAAACTGGGTTGACCCAAGACTTAACCATCTCCTCATACAAAAGACCGGACAACCTAATTTCATTTCACATCAATAGATCTTATGACTACTTGCACTTAACATAAAGAATCCAATATTACCAAAATAGGTAAGGAAGTTTGATTTTTGTCCATATTTAGGTAACCATGTTTTTTTTGTACACATTTGACCAGTAAATTTGTTTGGCCTGTTCATAATAAGGTAATATTACCGCTAATTACCGGTCATATTACCCTATTTTGAACATGTCAAACAAGTTCAATGGTCAAAATGTGAACGAAAAAAATATGGTTACCTAAATGTGGACAAAGACCAAAATTCGTTACCTTTCTAGTCATTAACCGTAATCAGAAATATATAATTTTCTTAAAAAAAATACTCCGTATATTTTAAAACGTTGAAGTTATTGTTTAGCAACTAACTCATTATTTTGAGTGTCACATCATTATTCTTTCTTAGCAACTAACTCTTAGCATTTGGTACGGAGTGGTGGTGTGATAAATTAATAAGGTTTATTTTAAAGAAAAAAAAAAGATAAAAATAACAATAGCTATGAACCAATCATAATCAACCATTACATCTTCTCTCTTTTCTTTCCTCTCACTATTTGCTGGAGTGGTGTTTGATATCTTAGCATATTGTTTGGTGAGAGGGGTGGCGAGTCCACTCCCTCAAGCCTGGACTCCCTCAAGCCTTATAGAGATAAAACAAAAAAGAAGGAAATAAATATTGGGATATGTAACAAAACAAAAAGCTTTTCCTTTTCGTACAGTGTGGGCTACAACGGCAGGTCTCCTAAAAACCTGTGTCCGCCATTTCCATTTAAACCACTCACCAGTCCGTCACACTCTGCTCTGCATCCACAAGAAGATGAAAGAGCTCGCCGAGCAAGAACTCAAGATCCTCGAAGCTCAACACCCGACTCGATTTCAACTTCTGAAGCTCGAGCTCAAATCATTCATACAGCTTTTCGATGAAGAAGAACAACAACAATCTTTCGAACGAAAACAGCAGCAGCAGCAGTTTCATCTATCTATCCTCACTCAAGGTTGGATCTTCAGTTTCATTTTGATGATTTAATTACTCTTTCGAACTTTATATTTGTTGCTGAGGATTCATTGATTTTGGTAAATTATAGAGTCGTCAAGTAGGAAACGGGAGAGGATGAAGGTAGAGAGGGAAGAAGGGAAGACGAAAAGATCAGGAAGAAGAAGAAGAGCAGAAGAAGGAATAAGTGGCGCCATTCAGAAAGCTGAAGCATGTCTTCGAAAGATTGAAGCTTTAAAGTCTCTTTTTAGGTCTTCTAATGGATAATCAACCATATATACATATGAATGTGGATTTTGGTGCATGTTTTTTTGATGGGGTTGATGCCACTTTTGGACTTTTGGTGTTTGAAAAAGGTAGACAGTGATATATTGGACCACTATGGTGTTTGAAATAGAAAAACAGTTTATGTATGAAATTTAGTGGTGTATTTTTGATACTACTCTTTGGTCCTTTTAATTTCAATTATGTGATAATATTCACCCAAACATTTTCTAAAGAATGAAACTTATTTATTAATACAGATTGATTGAGAGGATTGGTATAAAATTGATTGTTGAGTCAATCAAGGAGATGACGTATGAGTTCGATTGCATTGAATAGCAAAATATTCATACTAATGAGAATTTGGGGGAAATTGAAGTCGAAAATACTAAAATATAATAGAAGTGGTCTAATATTTGCAATTTGCTAAGACCTGCTTTCATAATTTAAAGGGGGAAAATGAACCAAGAAAATTAAGTTTGATGAATACGTATACAATCAAATGTTATGTTCAATGGTCTACAAATTTTACAAAATTATGTTATATGATTATATCATTCTCATCTTTGTTGAGAATTGGAGGTTCTTAAAGATATATAAATATCATTTGTAGTACAATAATCAAAACAAATATAGTTGATTGAGGTTGAATACATTAGTTAAAAAATTAAAATAAAATATAAATAATAAACTTTATAAAATGAATTTTGAGACTTGTTGCATAATAATGTAACACCAAGACCCGGTGAAAAGCACAATGAAATTTTCATTTAAATGGTTTACAATATCTACTATAAAGGGTTGTTTGATAGCGACCGAATGAGTCAATGCCTGATTGAGTCATACTCAGTCTCTCATCAGACACAAGAATAGGCATATCAGAGGTTATAGAACCAAAACAAAGATTTTTAATTGTAGTATCAAACAGTTTAATCTAACCGAGTCAGACCCGAACCAGTAATGGTATATCAAATAGCCCTTAAATCATTCACAAAAAAATGTAACTTTGTCTCAAAGAGACTCTACATTTGCACCGCATACACAACACACATAAAAACATGAATAAGACAATGAGTAGGGTTTCCAACATGAACATAAAAGCTAAGCAATCTTGTAGATCTTTTAATCTTGGTCGAAGTGGACCCCTTTCCCTTCTTAACAAACTCCATTCCTAAAACACATTTCAACATAGTAACTATAAACAAATAGCATAGTGTGTAACAATGATACTATCTCACAAGGAAATCTCAACTCATCAATACCACTTTAAGTATAAACAATAGACTCATGATGCAAATGTAATTCCATGCTATGCAATGTATATGAAATGCAACACATGCTGCGACCTTTCACAAAAGCAGCCACACAAACATAAACAAACATAACACACATACACAAGAAGGCACACATTTATGAACGGTTCCTAGTTATAGGAATGTACTTTGAAAGACAATGTTATAATTCGGAATATTGATTTTTTTTTTCACATAAAAACAGCCACACAAACATACACAAGAACGCACACATTTATGAAGGGACAAAACACGTAAGATTGAACCGAACCACAAGGATGATTCTTGTAATTTAATAAAACAATCTTTTAATTTCTCCTTGGATGATATATTTGTTAAGTATGAATATTGCTATATTATCCAATTAGTTCTTATCAACATCAAGCAATTTGAGTTTAACCAAATAAATGGCCTACTTGTAATGATGTGAGAATTCCTAAAAGAGGTCTAAAAATTTAATATTTACACCTTAAATGGCCTACATAATTTTTTGACAAAACATTAACGAAATTCATAACTTGCTCAAAATAAAAAGATGAAAACTAGAAACCAAAGTGTTAATAAGTTTATAGGAATCAAATAATCAAACTTTTTTACAACTCATCAAAAAGTAAGTTTAGTAATTATGACAACTGCCTACAAAATTCAGCAAACCACTTCTTTTTTCATACAAAGAAGCTTTAATTAACAACATGGTTTAAGTTTAACTATCAGGAGCTTTTCTCTTTTGATTTGATGTGGAGACACTTGTTTGGGGTTGACCAAAAGCTGACCTGTACTCCCATTTATAAAACCCATAAATTTCAATTTATAATTAATAATAATTAACAAAATATGAACTGATGATAATAATTAACGTTAAAATCATACTTATTACTCACCCACAAGTTGAACATTTCTTGTGATGCTTACAGAAAATAGATAGACAAACAGAGCAAATATACCCCATATCAATCGTATTTTTGTGACAAAAACACCTGCATTTTAAAAAATAAATAAATAAAATTAAATTAAATTAACTTCTAGCATTTAATAATATATATTAAAAAAAAAAAAAAAAACTTACGAAGCACGAAAATCTACACCAACAGGCTTAGGAAGTTGTAAGAAGTTTCGTGAATGCAAATCTGTTGCAAATACTGTCTGCATATGAAAATATATATATATATATATATATATATATATATATATATATAATCTTTAATTTAGTTTCTTTAAAAGAAAAAATATATATTTAAAATATATGCCAGGGTGGAATATTTCAACATACTGTTAGATACTGGAACAATCCTTCTAACTGTTGTGGCTTCAGATATACACCTCCAGTTATATAAGAAGCCTAAAAATCAAATAACAGCAATATATATATATATATATATATATATATATATATATATATATATTCAAGTAAGGGCAGAATGGTCATTTTCATAAACTTAACAGATAAGCAGAGGGACAAATTTGTAATTTACTCACCTGTTGCAGGAATGCAGAATGTTGTGACCCAATAACACATGAATCTATAGGCACCATTGATCTTTGAGCAGAAAAAATTGAATTCATAATGGCAACATATCTAAAAAATATAAAATCTTTTTGTTAGAATAAAAGGAAAAAGAAATTTAAAAAAAAAAAAGAAAAAGAAAGTTGAGAGACATACTGTCCAGGTCCATCTTGTGATCCATGTAAACACAAAATCTGTCATTATTTATCAGATTAATTAAATTAATAGGTAATATTTAAATTATAATTTATAAACTAATTGATGAATTCAGAAGAATTACCCGAGGTTGTGGATGAATTGATCCAGAACGAAATACTCTTTGTATGTCTAATCATTGTGGTTATTTTAAACAATCTTTTTATATATTAAAAATACTAAAATGTTGTGATAAAAAGAAATGAAAGTAGTAAAAAACATAAGAAAAACACAAAATGGTGGAAATTATGAAAAAGGATACAACAAAGTGCCATTGAAAGAGATCCTGAAAGCAAAGAAGATCCAATTCCATCAACTGATTCTTGCTTATTAAGCTCTTCATCTTTAATCACAAACTCTTCTAATTTTTGCAACAATGTTTCAGCTCTTAGGTTACCATGACCCAATGAAGAATCATATATGTAATCACAAGAATTGAATCCAGTTGCTATCACCACCACTTGATTCAGTTGATTTAGTAGAATAATTGAGTTCAAGAACGAAAGAACCTAACATTATTTTTCATAAATTAATTGTTTTTCACATGGGTTTTTGTAGTTTTATAAGAGTGTTATGAAAAGATTTTGTTTACTTGAGATAGAAACTTGGAGAATGAGAAAGGGGTAGCAGTTGAGCTCCAGAACAATGGATTTGTGTCGATTAACACCATTAGCAAGCTTACATCATCTGTGATTAAATTATAGATTAGATGAATTTGATTGATGAATGAAGATAATTAAATTGATTGAGAGTATAAAAACGATTGTAGAGAGAATGAAAGATAAATTTACCTGTGTACTGCTTAGATGAAACAGGGGTCATACTTGGTTTTTGTGTAGTGTGTATGATGGATAAAGTTCTAAACTGAAGAGATTAACTGTTTGGGATGATTTCTTAATAACTGAAACAAATTAAGAAGAATTACAAGGTTAGTGATTAGTTCATCAAATACAAAGATGGAGTCCACCTTCCGAGAACTATAATCAAGAGCATGTGCCACTGTGAGTCCTGACATTGATGACATTGCATCATTCGACACTACATTTGGAACTTGCAATTCTTTTTCTAAGCAGAATCTAATCGTGGGAAGGAAAGAGTGGTAGTACATCACACACAGTTTATTCATTGAGGACTTTTATCAAACAGGTAGCATGCGATATGTATAAGTAAGGGTTTTCGCACAAGAACATCAATTTCTTTGGCCATACCTCGATAATTTTGGAAGGGAATGGCAAAGTGGCTCTAAGACGACAGTGTTGCCGCTTGTTGTTCCTTGCGTATTCTGTAATCGAATCGAACAAAGGAGTATTCGAGGGTAATCGGAGTCTACTACTGCTCATGAACCATCAAGGTCACACGAGAGTGTGTCTCCTTTTACTTTTACACGAACCTCACCTTGGCCCCTCGCTCTTTTGTTTAAGGCTAAGATAACCCTCTGACTTTTAGGTTAGTTATCCAAAAAAAACTATTTTATGTATTTATATTTCTAAAAAATAATATGTATTTATGTGTTTAAAAACATATTTTCAAATTTTAAACGGTATAACCAAATAAAAAATCATATATAAAAAAATAACATTTAAAAGCAACATAAATATAGGAATGGCAACGGGGCGGGTTCGGGGCGGGGCATGGTTTCCCAAACCCGACCCGATATTTTTTGGGTATCTTATCGGGGCGCCCCATTGGGTTTTGGGTTTTTCCGTCGGGTTTCGGGTATCTTATTGGGTTTATAACAATTCATAACAAAATCTTTATTCCATTTTAGGTACTCCGATGTCTTATAAAAAATACATGTTCTAGCCTCCTTTTTAAATTATAAATATGATGCATCACTTTAGTAAAATAAACTGGACGTTATATTAAAAATTATTTGATTTAAGTTTAGTATAATACGTCAAAACATAAATAATTGTTAATAACTAAAAAAATTATTTGATTTAAGTTTAGTGTAATACGTTAAAACATAAAAAATGATCATTCACACCTTATTTTTAAAAACTAAAAAGATTGTCTACAGTAAGTATTTTATCTTTGAATGCGTGCAATTAACATCAAAAGGATTCGTGTGTGTGTGTGTGTGTGTGTGTATATATATATATATATATATATATATATATATATATATATATAATCGGGTCGGGGCGAGGAGTACTCACTCCCTGCCCCGAACCCGATAAAAAACTCAATAACGACCCGTTACCTGACCCGAAATGATCGGGTTTCGGGTTTCCCCGTCGGGTTCGGTCTTTTTTGCCATCCCTACATAAATATAATATTTAATTAAACATATTTTTTATATAAATATGTTTTTTTATAAATATAATATTTAATTAAATATTCTTTTTATATAAATATGTTTTTCTGTATAAATACATATAATATGAAGAAAAAAACCTTAGGATAAAATCGTAAAATACTATAAATTTAAAATTTTTATTTACGAATTTAATATCATAATAACCTAAAAAACTCGTTATAAAAAAGAAAATGAAATTTTTTGATAAATATAAAGACATACTTTATAGTAAAACCAAACATTTTTTATAAATATTCCTTTTACTATTAAAAACAAATCAATTGTTCCAATAACATTGTATGAAAACTAAATCACATAACATGGAGTGACGCATAAGTTTAGGATTTAAAGTTCAACGGATTTACGTGTCCAAATCTTGGTGAAAATTTCAACTCCAATCCAAACCAATTAATTGAAAAAAATAATTTATTTAATTAAAACTGATTGAAAACCTCAATCTAACATATTTAATTTTAAATTTAAATTTGGTCCATGATGGATTAGATCACAAAAACCTTTTGCCCGACTCTAATTTACGCATGTTAAAAACTCCTTTTATTGCAAACTTTATCTTGAAGAATTTGTGCCCACATAAATCATATTATTGCAAAGTTAGTATTTTCAAACTAATTGTTGTGAAAATTATAAATATGTTTCTTGAAGTTATTAATGGTTATAAGATTTTAGTGATTAACCAAATTACTATTTTTTAAGCTATCATAATTCTTCACCGAATTTTTTAATATAATTTTTAAATAGTTGAAAATCCAAAATAACTTTTTTGGTTTAAACTTTAAACTTTTTTTTGAAGAAGTAGGGCCAAAAGTCACATATTATTCTCCAAAATCGACTCGAAACCCCCTTCGACGTGCGAAGAATCTCCGGACGAACGACGGCATCAATGGTTTGGGGCCTCTTTCCCTCCGACCCCCTTCCAGGTTAACCTTTCCCTCTTCATCTTTTTTCTTCGTATTTCCAGTTCATCTGAAACACAAGAACTCAACAAGTGTATTTTTTTCTGGAATTTCGTCGAATACCTTCAGTGCATTTAGTCGAATGCAAGATTATGCCAACAATCTTAGTGGGTACCTTTTTCTTTAACCAGGTGTTCTCTTTATAGCAAAAAGTAAAATAAAAAATAATGTTGATGATGATGATGCAGGAAAAATAGAACGAATTTTTCATTTATGTAAGGCATATTAATCGTTTACACTTGAACTAACTGTAAATGAGGGCTTTCGAAGGCAAAATGATCAGAGAAAATTGGAATTGTATTGTTTTGAGTTTTGGGACAAATCAGATCATCAAAAGACAATAGTAGGAACCTGAACATTGTGAAGATGAAAGTTTAAATTAGTGGGAAACGAATTACTCTTATTATTTCTATTGAAATTGAATTCATTTTCAGGGGAAGAAACTTATTACTTCTTTAGCAAAGGGACATATAAAGTGGGGCGAAAAGGTAAATCCAAATTATCAATTCCATTTGCATTCATTTACTCTTTCATTTTTGTATCATAGAAGTTTACTAATCTTGGATTCTTTGTTATATAGGATGTGATATAATCGTTAATAAAGATAAAGGGGTTTCACGGGTTCATGCAGAAATAATCATTGATGCCATGATTTCCATTGACAATATTAAAAAGAAATCATCCAAAATTAGGATTAAAGATTGCTCAAAGTATGGAACTTTTATCAGAAAGCCTCTTGGATCTCAAAAAGAAAAAGTTCATGAGTTTCCAAATAAGGAAACAACATTAGATGATGAAGACCTTGTTTCATTTGGAACTGGTAATGCCACTTACAGGTATACCAATTTTATAAACAAATTTTTTTATTTTTCTTTAAAATCTTGACAAAAGATTGCTAATTTGTTACTGCAGGTTTAGTTTTATTTCCATTGTGTTTTTTCTTTGTGGATTTGAGTCTTCACGATTAAAACAACTTAAAGAAAAGATATCATCAATTGGTTAGTAGACTTCATCATATCAAGAATTGAATTATGTTATTTGATTTTTTTTTTAAAATATATTCAATGAATAATATTACTATTTACAAAATGGTTTACAGGTGCTTCTATTAGTAATACATGGAGCCCAAAGTGCACACATGTTGTTCTTGATGATAATGCTTCAGTAAATGGTGTTCTAATTGATGCTATAATGTCTAAAAAACATTTTGTCAGTTATAAATGGATACAGGTAACTTTATTTTTTTATTCAATAATCAAAATCTTGAAATAATTTTATGTATTTAAATATTAAATAACATGTTTGATTGCATTCAGTCACTTGCAGACAAACGTATTGACACCAAAATTCCCATCTGCAATTCGTAAGAAAACGTTTAATTGATTCACTTTTGAATATTTATATAATTATTTTTTACATGATCATAAAAATATATTTACTCTTTTCCCTACAGTGATCCTCATACTTTGATATTGCAAGGAGTTTCTGTTAAAATTGCTAACACTGAATCTAGAGAAAATTGTTTAAATGGATACACTTTTCTTCTGGAATCATCAGAAAAGGTATATTCTCTTTTTTTTTTTTTATGATGCATTCTATTTTTCATTTTAATTTATAAAATCTTATGTTTATAAACTGTTTCACAGTATAAAGTTAAGGAAAAGTTGCAGCCATTACTTGAAACATTTGGTGCAAAAGTTATTCCTGTTGAAGAATTCATTCCCCAAAGCCAGGTTTCTATTAAGTCGTTCTTTCTGTATTAAATTATGTTCCAATTAAATTTAAAAAAAAAAAAAAATCTTTTTTTTTCAGGGTTTAGAAGAAGATGAAAACAATCATGTTGTACATGTCATCTCTGTTGAAGAGGGTTTTGAGTGTACACATATTATTACAACTATACCAAAAGTGAGTGAAATAAATTTGATTTGTGCTACTTTATCTGGACACCTGGATCCTGTTGTTTTTGTATCACCACCTGGTAATATTTCTTTTTTATATACAAAATAGCAATATACTTTCTAATTTTTTTTTCTTATTAAAACATTGTACTTTCAAATTATTCCTTATCAGGGCATTGCACTTTTATAAAATTTACACATTATGACAATGTTGAATTATGATGACATGGCACAAGATAACAAGTTTTTATGCCATGTCATTGTCCAGATAGGATGTCCACGTTTAATATACCGCTGACATGGCATTTGCCATGTAAGCAGTACATTCATATTACACGTGGACATCCTATGTGGACAATGACATGGCATAAAAACTTGTTATCTTGTGTCATGTCATCATAATCCAACATTGTAAAAATGTGTAAATTTTATAAAAGTGCAATGCCCTGATAAGGAATAATTTGAAAGTACAATGTTTTAATAAGAAAAAAAATTAGAAAGTACATTGCTATTTTTTTTTTTTGGCATTTGGCTTATTACAAATGTTTAAAGTTTATAAAAAATAAAAATATCTTTAATTTCCAATTGCAGAACATGTCACATCTTCATGCTCCACAGATGAGACAATTGTAGCAGATTCAGAGCCAGAAATAGAAATCATATCAGTTTCTACATCTTCTAAAAGTCAAAAATTAGAATCTGTTGAAGATGAAAAAGGGAAAATATCTGTTTTTCATAGTGTAGAATCTGTTCAACATGAAGTGGAAACTATTGTTCATGATCCAATAGATCCAGTAAAAACCGATGAATACATAAATATAGCCACAAATGATACAAAAGATGATGAAATTACACCTGTAAATGGGATTTCAGATGTTATTTTTAGCCAAGATTTGATCATTCGAGATACAAATTTACCATCTTCTCTGCCTTCTCCTACTAAAAGCCAAGTTTTGGACTTTAAACGATTTAAAAAGGTAATTATTTATATTATTATTGTTTGTTTTATGTTGTTTTTGTTTTTAAAGGTTAATTTTATATGCAGATGGAAACTCAATCAGGAAATAGTTTCTACAATCTTGTGCCTTTTTCAAAGAATCCTTACAAGTATGATGACATACATTTGATTTTGGTTTTATTTCATGTATATAAAGTAACAAGATTTTGGAATGATTTATTTATAAATTGAAATTTGTGGTAGAGGATCTGAATATGAGAATGAGGGAGTAGCGGAGTCTGTGAAGGAAGAAAAAAAGCGTAAACAAAGTGAGGCTGTTGCAGATGATTTATTCAACAACGCTAAGGTATTTTTTTTTTACCTGTGTGCCTGATGCAGACTGTCTGCATCAGGCACGTTGTGCTTGATACAGTAATTTGTCCGACAACAATGTGTCTGATGTCAGACACATTGTGTCGGATATAATCTGTATCAAAATGTGTCTGATATAATACATATCAAGACACGTTGTGTGCCTATGAGATAACACATACAATGATATATATTTTTAATTTATTATTATTTTTTTTTTTCGGATAATGTTTTAGGCCAAGAAGCGTGGAGCAGCTGGTTTTATTCAGGGGCTTTTTAATCGAAGATGATGTAGGTATTGTATGTTGGTTGTTTAGGAACAAAGTGTAAAATTATTGAAAATGCTGAAAGGTTTTTGTAAGATTCAGTTTTTTTTTTTTTTTTCTTCAAGTTTTTGATTTACTAAAATGTTTGATTATCTATTAGATATCGAAGCTAGTTTTAAATAATAAAAAGAAATTGTGAATTTAAGCTCAATATCAACAATACTTGTTAATGATAACAAATTAACAATTGAATATTACATTAGAATTTGCCAAAACTGATATAAATAATAATTATCAAAGCACAGGTTATGTCCAAATGTAAAATCCAAAAGTAATGTGTTTTTTAAACAATTATTGATACATGTTGGAGACCCGATTACCAAACGGCTAAATCTAAAGAAAGAGTTGGACACCAAATCACTCGACAATTAAAAATAATTAATTATTGAAGGTACGTAAATATTTTTAAACTTTTAGTGTTAACTACAATATATTTGATTTTATTCATCCATGTAATAACTTATAGAGATAATATAACGTGTTTGGCTATTTTCTAAATCGTGTGAAAGTTATTTTTCTTAAATGATTCAAGAAGTAAGTATGTTTTCATCATGATAAACGGATTACTTCTTTTGCAATTTATGCACACTAAATAACAAAAACACGACTTCAACTTTTAAAATCTACATTGATTAAATGAAATGTGTGAAATTTATTTGTATTTGTAAAAGATAAAATGTTGCATGACTCGATAGACAGCTGACTAAAGATAACATAACTGTACTGTTATTATTTTGTAATACATTAATACAATTTTATCTTCAAAATATGTTCAAATCTTTTTTCACATGATCTTATTATGCATAGAAAAGAGTCAAAGAGATTTTCTTCATTTAATTTGTCTCTATGACAAGATGGTTGGTTTTTCTCTTTTGTCATTGACAGAGGTGGACTCAGGATTTCATAGTAGGGGGTGCACGTGAAAGTTAGGGATTGCACGATAGTAGAAAAGTCAGGGGTTGCCGGTGCCACCGGTGACCCCCCCCCCCCCCCTAAATCCTCCCCTGACCATTGAGGTATAAATTGGGTTGTGTTTGACACGCCACAACGAGTTAACTTATTTTTTGAGTTTTTTTAAGTTGTCATTTTGACAATCTAAAAAGTAACTACTTAGACTAACTTTTTTTAAGAGTTTTTTAATTTTTTTTTACAAATATACCCCTTAATTAATTATAGAAACACATTCTTTTAAATGTCATTTTATGTCTTTTTATATATTTCAACTAGTTTGTCAGCTAATTTTACCAAACACTGTTTTTTATCAGCTAGTTTTTCATATATCAACTAACTTTTTATTTAACAACTAGTTTTTCAACTATCAGGTAATTTTTCAGCTAACAACTAATTTTTCAGCTAGTACGCCAAACATACCCAATTCCTTTGAGGTAATATCTGTCTTTTGAGTGACATACTATTAATCGTTAATTTACTAATAATAACTTAGGAAATAATATAGGTAGTTTTGAAAGTCAATTTGCATCCTAGATACTTTATTGTAACCTTGCACATATGGGTGTAAACGAGTCGAGTCGAGCCGAGTAGTGCTAACCTCAAAGCTCGACTCGCCTAAAATACCCGAGCTCTAAGCTCGACTCGAACTCGCCTCGAGCCTAAATTTGAAGCTCAGACTCGACTCCTTTAATACTCGTTACTATCGAGCTCGGCTTGCGAGCTCGGTTCAGCGCAATTAAAATTAAAAAATAAAAATAAAAAGATAAAATCATCAAATGTTAAAAACATTCCACAACTTTTACATTGTTCAAAATAACAAAAAATTCACAATAAACCACTAATGTCAATATACCATCAACCATCTATGTTATTGCATTTTACATACATCCAAAATACAAAAAAAAAAAAAAAAAAACATTCTCAAAAGTTTTGAAATGTAATTTAAGTCCTTACTTCTTAACCTACGCCTAAAAGCTAAAAGCTAGAAGTGTTGAAATGTTTTAGTAATTTAAAATATATAAAGGGTAAAAAAGTAATTTATAAATACTCGATTAAGCTCGCGAGTTTTATGAGCCAGATATTTTACTACTCGAGTTGGGCTCGATAAGTTACTCGAGTAGCTCGAGCTCGACTCGATTAAAGTCGAGTCAATTTCGAGTATTTTCCGAGTCAGACTCGAATTTCTCGTGAGTTTTCTCGTCTTGTTTACCACTAGATTTCTTAATAAATTGTACTATGACTTATACATTGCTAAAATTACAAAATTCACTATGTATTCTTTTTCAGATCCTTGCACAAGTACCATGATCTAATGCTCTGAGGCATTTCATCAAACCCCTTGATATGCATTAAAACCACATTTGTTTCGTAGTAAACATGCACATTAGAGCCTAAATGGAAAAGAAACCAATGCATACTTTCAAATTAAATCTTTCGATATCATAAACAACAAATAATCAAATGGGGACATTTAGTTCTTTGCTGCATTTGAAGTTTGGGGACGCCTCCAAAGAAATGAACCTATAGGTGTGTAACAAAAAAATCAACCGTTGGGAACCCCCAGTCCGCCCCTACCACTAGCAAATCAATAACGGTCTAACATATATATATATATATATATATATATATATATATATATATATATATATATATATATATATATGTGAGTGACATGAATTTGAGCATTATTTGTGAAAGATATACCTTTTTTAGATTTTTTTTCTTTATTTTTATGTGGATAATCATCATGGGGGCCTTAAGAGGAGACAAAATGTGCAGCTGGCCCAATTTTTTTTATATATTTTTATTTAAAAATTTATAATAACGATCAAAGCTTTTTTTTCTGGCTCGTCCTGAACATTTAAAAATATTTAATTTTTCAGGACCGGCATGATAATCATCTTATATAAACTCCATTATTAAAGTTTCTCAAAGATAGATTTTCTTGGAGGAATGTGAATGAAATGATATATTATAATTATAAATTAATTCCAAAAATAACTAAATAAATTTTTTTGTTATATTTCTATTTAAGATTCTTGGTTTATATTTTTTTATTTATTTTGTAAACTTGTATTTTAAATGATACATAATTCTTTTTTAACTAGTTGAATACATATAGCATATTAATGAAATGAAATATGAGGAACATCTTGATGTGGGTATACCCGAAAATTTTCTCAACCTTCGCCCAAAAATGAAAGAACTTACCGGGTATATTGACCTTTCTAAACTAAATGCTATATCTAACAATACAAGGGCAATGATCAGAAATGCCTCTAGGCAAAAATGTCGTTTCAGTAATAACCTATCTTTTCTCTAGCCTGGAGCGCCAACACTCCTAAACCTAAAGCAGTTAGCAAGCACTTATATACAATTTATTAACTATATATTAATATTTAATTAAAGCTTATTTTTATAAAATAGAATCTTTTTTTATTTATAGTTTTACATTTATTTAACTTTTCTATTTGTACATTACAATTTTACTTTTCTATTTATACATAACAAACTATAATTTTAACTGACTTATTTCATTTTTCGAGATGACAAAATATGTCGATAGAATATAATAATTCATTTTATTACATTGTTCATGTTATTCATTTGTAATTTAATTTAGGGTAAATGACACAAAAGTCACTAACTTTTCATTTTATTATTATTATTATTATTATTTTGACACCATTTTTTTCTGTTACAATTAAAGTCACTATGTTTTCAATTTATTGCAGTTCTGACGAGTTGACCGATTTGATTCAGGTCATTCGGTTGTCACTGCTGGCGTGACATGATAACATGTCAGAAGCGGGAAAAAAAGTGGCGCAAAAGACACTATGTTTTCATTTTTTATTTTTTTATTTTTTGCGATTTTGACACTAATTTTTAATTTTTTTTTCCAGTTTTGACACTAAGTTTTCGATTTTCTCCAATTTGCAACATAAATGAAATAAACATATGGAAATATATAATTGCTCAATTTACCCTATAATATAATAAAATATGTGTACAATAGATTAAAAAAAGAATATAAAACATATGCAAAAACATAATTATTCCATTTTTCTTTATTTGATTTTCTCTCTCTTTTCAAACTCATTACCACTCTTCTCAAATGAGTTTTCATCACTTTCTTCCAACCATCCAAGAACCTAAAAAACTAAGGTTCATGGGCTATCACCACCAAACATCGGCAAAGCCTTTAACTTCCAACTAACTCAAAAGGGTCTTCACCTAATCTTGGTTAGCAGAAACCTATCCAAACTAAAAGAAGTTTTTGATGAGATTGTATCGGTGCACCCGACCACTAAGATCAATATTTTCACTGTGAATTTTTCCTGCGAGAATATGGTGGCCGGAGTTAGGAGACGCAAAAGGTGATTTATGGTGAACAACTGAGCGTAGGTATTTTGGATGAATGTGATGAAAGTGATTTTGATAGGTATGAGTTTGGTAATAACAGTTGTGATTGAAGGAATGGTTGAGGAGAAAAGATATGTCATTGTTAATATTGGTTCAAGTGTTACCATTGTTTTACCTTCACATCCTTTGTATGCGATCTATGTTGCCAACAAAACGTAAGTTGGCCGTTAATTGTCTCTTTCTTTCTTTCTTTTAATTCGATTCATGGTTCTCTCATTTTGTTTTAAGATCAAATTAAAGGCATAGATAGTTTAATTTTAAGTCAAGAAACATGCACTAGGAATGTTTTTATGACCAAAAGGCAGACATGATTTTAAGCTATGAAAACAAGTTATTTACATACATAAGGCAAGGTTAGAGAAACGAGGGATGAGGGGCAAAAAATTTAGTAAAAGTATTGTATCAAAGAATAAGTGAAACCCAAAGGTATACAATGTGACAAATTAAGGTTCTATAGTTCAAATTTTATTTACAAATATAAGATAAACAAAAACTATATACAAACAAAGATTTTCATTGATAGGGGTGGAAATTGGATATGTTTATTTCATTTATGTTGCAAATTGGAGAACATCAAAAACTTAATGTCAAAATTGAAAAATATTGAAAACTTAGTGTCAAAATCGAAAAAATAAAAATAAAAACATGGTGTCTTTTGTTC